ACGTCATGAAGCACAGAGCTAAGCGCCAGTGCGGACGCCGCCGTCGCAAACACTAACCATCCCTCTGTCCACTTCCTGTCCGCTACGGACTCCTGGGCAAGGTCCCACTTGCGCAAATTAGGCGTTTTCGGTCGTTGATCTTTGCAATCTACGGTCAGTATCTCTTAATTCGTGCAAGTGGGACCTAGCCCCTGAGCACGCAAGGTGCGAAGGGAGTCATAACGTCGTATTCATTCTATTAACAACACCTAATGACATCGACCTCAAAAATCCTCACCGTACTTTTCTCACCGACTTCCGCTGGTCGCTCCAGACCAATCCCCAAGTACCCGCACCGCAGGGTGCAGGCCCTACCCTACAGGGTCCAAGACCTACCGGTACTAAAAACCCAAATCCGACCGGAACGTTTGGTCGGGCGCCGTTCCGGTCTGTCGCGGGTCCAAACCCAGGTCATACTCTTTCGCTTCCCTCTCTCTCACTTGCTACTCCTAATTACGCATCCGTCACTTTCGCCGCAATCTTCATACCCGCGGGGCTAGGTCGCACAAGCAAAGAGGATTGGATTGAACACCTGAATCTGGACTTGTTTGTGGAAAGGTTCAGACTGTCGAGATTGAACTGCTTTTCTGCATCTCTGCTTAAAACACGTCCAGATTCAGGATATTTATCCAATCCTCTTTTGCTACCGGTAGTGGGACCTCGCCCACGTTCTTTACCCCGCCTGCCACCGGTCGAAACCCTGGCCATCCTGATCTAATCCTGGCACGGTGGTGTCCCCATCCGCAGAATTCTGGAAGTGCGGTTCCTGCCTCTAATCCTCCTTTGTCGACCCTTCCGGCCCCTTCAAACCCTTGGGCAGCTGTGGTTTACATGGTGTGCATGCCTATCTAGGTATCTGGCCGCCGGCTCCGATTGAATACACATCCTGATCTACCCTCCCTCTCACTACTCATCCAACTTACACACACACACACACCAATTCCGCAATCATCTTCCGCACTTGTTCCTTATCCCTGACCAGGTTCTTAATTGCCTGCCGGGACAATTCGATTAGTCTGGGCAGCTAACTCCTCCTCCGGATCCTCCGGAGTTCCATTCGCAGCGAGCGCTAGGACAACTCCAACCATACCAGGGCTTGACCTGGAGTCCTGTCGGATCCTGTGCCAGCACTCGTAATCCTGTAAATACTGTGCCACTTTCGCCTTCTTCCCTGTCCATGACTCAATCCAACAGATCTTTTTGGTTCTTCATTGTTTGATGGCGGCTCAAAACGAAATCGAGTTCTGTCAAACAAAAAAACAAAAAAAAAATCGAGTTCTATCTGATCCTGTGCCAGCAGCATTGTAATTGCTGAGCCACTTTCGCCTTCTTCCCTGTCCATGACTCGTAATCCTGACTCGTAATCCTGAGTCGCCTCCATCTAACAGATCTTTTTGGTTCTTCATTGTTTGATGGCAGATCAAAAAGGGAAACTCATCGCCTCCCACTCCCTCTCCTCCCCATCTGTTCTTTTCAATGTCAGGTTCGCGTCGTAGCAGGAGGTCTCGGATGCCTGCAAAACCTCCTCAGCCCGACCTCTCGATCGATTCCACACCCTCTCTTCTTGTTATATGCCTACAAATACTGACGCGACGCATCGTCCACGAACTTGTCCCTGCGACCAGCCTCTTTTGACTTCCTAAAGTGAGCAGAAAATCCCATTCGGATTTTGCACACATCAGGCAAGGCTAATGAGGGGGCCTGAGGACTTCCCCATTGGAAGTCCCAAGGTCTGTCTGAGGGTTCATACCAGCTGCGATCGTAAGGCAGTTCCTCAGATCATACTTAACATAGTCAACCAACCCTCCTCTCTCTCTCTCTCTCTCTCTCTCTCTCTCTCTCTCTCTCTCTCTCTCTCTCTCTCTCTCATCCTGGCACTTGGGGCGGCTATACTCCCCCCACCCCGCTGGTTTTCCCCTCACCATCCTCCCTTCCCCCCGTCTATCTCTCTCTCTCACACACACGTAAGGAAAAGAATAGAGAAATCAAAACGACAAAAAAGCACGATGAACCTTTAACCTCCCTCCCAGCCACCGACTTCCTCCTAATCCTCATCGACCCCCCC